CATGGAATCTTTATGTCACTGTATCTTTTTCGAATCTTAACCCTCCTCTTCTTCTTGTAGTGTATATGAACATCCAATTTGTGGGAAAATATCTAACAGCACTGTTCATGTCAAAAGTGTACAATAAATAGTTTCTTTGCTGCCCGTGGAAAAACCTTTGATCTTGGACCCAGAAGAACTAGGTCTGAGACAATGTCTTTTAGCAAGTTTCTTAATCTCTCTAAATCTCCACTTCTTCATCTATTAAATGGACTCAATAGTTCCTATCTCTCAGGGTTGTTGTGAAACACATGAGATAACACATGTGGGGAAAAAAGTGCTTTCTGAACCCCTCCAGCACTTGGAGGTATTCTTATTTGTCCTTCTAGGATTGGCTGAAATCCTGCCTCCCTGAGTAGCCTTCCCTGACCTTGTTTACTCACACCAGCTTGTTTCTTATCTTGACCACCTGTAGTGTTTATTGCCTGTACTTACTTCTGTGGTTGGTGGAGATGTTTCAAGTTGTTGGCTCCCTAACTAGACTGCATACTCCTTGAGAACACGGAATGGGTGCCTTATCCACTTTACAGTTCCACGAGGTCCAGCACGGAGCTCCGTGAACAATTCCAGGTTTGCATGAGGACGCAGTTAACCAAAGGGTCACGTTTATGTTGTATGTTCCGTATACCACATATTTTGCAGGACCACCCTTTGCAGGAAGGCACTAAGAAAGACAGGAGCAGGAACTTTGTAGAAAGAGCAATTTGGAATAAGAAATAAATTTCTGAGTCTTTTCTGATGATTTAGAAAACTTAGCATAAAATATCTTTTTACAAGATCAGAGAATTCTAACATGCCATGTCCAGAATTATCATTAAAAAAGAAAATCTAGTCTAGTGCAGTTAATTCTAGGACCCATCTAGAGAGAGAATAAAGCTCAAGTATTTCAGGACATGAAGCCTCATTGACTTAAGAAGGTTCAACAACATGACACAAGAAAATGGTCAAGATCGACCTGACCAACAAATACACTTCCAGCCCTGAGACAGCATTGATTTGGTGACGAAGAATAGCTGTTATGGCCAAAGTCTGAATGTGGCTGATGCTCAGATTAGCCAGAAAATGGATCATTATTATCCGTCCTGATGGTTTTCATTTGTGGAGAGCTTTCTAGTACTTCTGACCTGTCTATACTCATCTGATTTGATCCTGATAAATAAGACATGAGATCTCGCCCATTTTGCAGATGAGGATATCAGGGCACAGAGAATGTATTTTCTTGTCCAAGATCAGATAGCTGGATAGTCTTGTGGCCAATCTGTTAAAACACCAGTCCTCCTAACTTCCAGTCTCCTGGTCTATTTGCTAAGAGGCCCAACCTGTGATACATTGTGCGAGGAAGTGGACTGTGTATGCCTCAGTTGGGTTTAGGGAGGTCTTATGTTCACACTTAACATTAATGATTCTTGTTCTTTGGTGTTGCTAATTAAATGATGGCAGTGTTACGCATTTTTGTTTGTTCTTCCGAGAGTCAACATTAGACAAATATCTCTGGGCTGTGTCAAGGTTAAGTAGATAGTCTAATTAAAGTCATGCTGGTCCCAGAGTGCAACTGTAAAAATAAGGTAGCTAAAATGGAACTCATGACTTTTAAGCTGCATAAGATTCTCAATCTTTCTTTTTCTCAATGTTAAGATGTTGCTGTTTCTTTATTTCTTGCTAAAGCCACTATCTCCTACTGTTAAGCAGTGGAAAAAGTATTGGCCTAGGAAGAGATGGGTTCTAGCCCTCACTCTGCTACTAATTAGCTGTATTGCCCTAGGTAAGTAACTTAACCTGGTCAGGCCTCAGTTTTCAGATCTGTGAAATGGGGACAGCAGCAATGCCTGTCTTGCTCATCTCACGTGGAGGTTGTGAGGATGGAATTAGACGGGGAGCACCCGTGTGTCTCAGGACTTCTAAGTGTCTGCTCACTGACTCTACACTCTCCCAGGGCTTGTGCAGGCATTTGCTTTGTGAGATGGGGCAAGTTACATATGATATCTGAGCCCCAGCTTCCACATGTTTAACTCGTGCTCACAATACCTACCATACTGTGTTGTTAGGAGGATTATAATAAGCTCCTACATGTAAGGTTCTTGGTGCAGTGCCAGGCACAAAAGTAGGTGTCAGTAAACATTTGTGTGGTCAAGGGAACATGGCAGGACCCAAATCTCAAATGGCATTGCCAGACAGAGCACCGAGTCCTGGCTGCCTTTCCCCTTCCTGACTCTTCCTCTCTGCCTTGTCTGCTCTTCACTCTAAGGAAGGGGCAGTGGCGAAGGGAAGCTCTGTGCAAGCAGATGTTGGTGTTAATGTCATAGCCGTTGCTGGGGATCTCTTCTGTCCCAGGATGGCTTCTCTAGACACCCCTAATGACTGGTCATGTGTTGAAGATGCTTTTGTTGGGGAGCGCAAGGGTTGGTGCTGGAGATGGAGTCCAGCATCTTAAAGATGCTGGCTGTCTTTTACCTGGCACTCGTGACACGCAGGCGTGATGTGTACGGTTTTAGTGTCCTGTCCCCTTCCCATCCTCCTGTCCTGGGCCAGGATGCCTGCAAACCTTGAACAACTGCCTATGCTCTGCACTCAGAGGTCAAGATTAAAATGCAAGTGGGAGGGACTAATGGAGAAACTTCCACTAAAGGTCTGGTGCAAAAGCAAAGTGACCCTAAGGGCAGGTCCTGAGAGGGTGGGGAGGGGTGGGGGACAGCGGGGAGAGTTCTGAGAGTTGGAACCTGGAGGAGAGGAGGAAGCAGGAGTTAGGTAGAGGAAACAGAAAAGGGAGATAGGACAAGAAAAACAATGTCACCTATTTCACAGTTTCTCTGAAGGTTCTTCCTGACTATCAACAGCTGTTGGACATTCTTCCTGCACTCTTGAGTATATGATGCTTGATCCATCTAGGGAGCTGGATGTCCTGTTTTTTAAAATGAAGCATGTTGTAAAATCAAAACAGTGCCTCTACCCCAAATCTTGAGGGGTTTGAGAGGTGTGTCAACATTCTGTGAATCCCCAAATACTGATTTTCTGACCAGATAATAGGCGACAAAGCCAAACAAAAGGAGAAGCAGCCTCTGGTTTTGGAAATCTCAGAAAGGAGGGCAGAGAGAGCCAGCTGGAGCTGACTGGATGAGCTTCGAGAGCCGTGAACTGCATTGGACACTTTCTAAAAAAATAAAATCAAGATTATTTATTAAATAAGCAATATAGGTTATTTATAGAAACCTAAGAAAATACAGATAAGCAGTAAGAAAAAAAATCCCCCTAACCTCATTGACCTGAAACTGCTAACATTTTGGAGTGTAGGGAGGCAGAACAGTCATTGACGGACAGAGCCTAGATTCTGGGGCCCACCTGCCTGGTACAAAGCCCGACTTGCCCATTTACCTGCCGAGAGGCTGCAAGTGAATTACTTAGCCTGGACCCATTTGCTTGTCTGTAAATTAGGGATAATAATAATAACTACTTCCAAGAATTAAAGAAGCAAATGTGGTGCTTAAAATAGCAACTGGAATATAGGAAGCACTATCTATGTGATAGCTGTAAGACTAACAGTTATTTTATTTCTAGAATTTTTCCTATATGTGTATAATACATACACTTCTATGAAAATAGGGCTGTACTGTACTTTTGTCATGTATTACTCTGATCATCTTTTCATGGACAAATTTGTTATTATTAGCTGACATTGATTGCTTACAGTTGGGATAGACCCGGTGGTTAAGATTTTATATAAATTATTGTATTCAAGCCTCACAATAACTCTGTGGGGTAAGTACTGTTATTACCGTTTGACAGATTAGAAAACTGAGGCTAAGCAGTTTTGGGGTTTGTGTGTGTATGTGTGTGTGTGTGTGAGGAAGAGTGGCCCTGAGCTAACATCTGTTGCCAATCTCCCCCTTTTTGCTTGAGGAAGATTAGCCCTGAGCCAACGTCTGTACCCTTCCTCATCCACTTTGTACATGGGTTGCTGCCACAGCATGGCTTGATGAGTGGTGTAGGTCTGTGCCTGAGATCCGAACCCACGAACTCGGGCCACCAAAGCGGAGCACACTGAACTTAACCACTACACCACCAGGCCAGCCCCTAAGCAATTTTAATAATTTACTATATAGTGCTGGCCAGTGGAGAAGTTAGAATTTCAGTCCAGGCAGTCTGGCTTTTAAACTTGCCCATGTTAGAACTTCATGTGGGCATGCTAAGAAGATCCAGGATTTCTTTAGGACTTCCTGAAAGAGGCAGGTTTGAGTGTGTGTCATCTTTCCTTCTGTCATGCAAAGAAGAGGAAAGTGAGCATTAGACAGGCTGGTACCTATGCTGGCAGGATTAGAGAGAAACCATGTTTGTGCTCACGCCTTTTTAACCCCGGGCAGGTATGCACTTAGGGACACCAGACTGATGGATGTCTGGCTGACTGTTCTTCTTGGGCTCTAACAGCATTTTTGACTTTTACTGTGGAAATCACTGATACAAAATGGGATCTAAGGTCCAGTATTAGGCTTACTTTTTTCTAAGTGCTTTTTATCTGGAAAGAGAACCTTGAAGCAGTCTTTCATCTTGTTCTCCAGAGCTTTTGACACAGCCATCTGGGCCATGGGCTATAGCTTCCTTATATTTCCCTCTCCATCACTGAGCATTTACCTCAGTCCCCAGATAACCCAGGACCAGGTCCAGGGCATTGCCAGTTGATTAATTAAATCCACAAGTCTTTGCTCAAACTCCACCCATGTGAAGCCCTGTCTGGACACCATGGGCACACGGGAGGAGGAAGGCGGTTGAGAAGACACAAACACACATGAGTGCAGAGCTGACAGTATAAAGCAGGCTGTATGTGGCTCAGGCGACTGCTGTGAGCTCGGATCAGTTCACTGGGAGCGTTTGGTTGTTCCATGGGTTGGGGGGCCCTGGGGTTGTCTTGACCAGGGGTGTGATAGGATGGCAGTGATGTTTTAGGGACTAACCCTTGTCTCTCAATTTAGGAGTAGCTCGGAGAGGAGGAAGGAGAAGTCCCGAGATGCTGCAAGGTGCCGGCGCAGCAAGGAGACGGAGGTCTTCTATGAGCTGGCCCACGAGCTGCCCCTGCCTCACAGCGTGAGCTCCCACCTGGACAAGGCCTCTATCATGCGGCTGGCTATCAGCTTCCTGCGAACACAAAAACTCCTGTCCTCAGGTGAGGCTGGCAGGCTCCCCCAGGTTGGCACCAATGGCAGCCTTACCAGCCCGTCCTTACACACAGGAGGCTCCATTGTGCCAGAGTCGGAAGGCCAGTGGGAAGTTCTCTGTCTGGGAACTCCCACTCTGCAGAACTGGCCCCCACAGCAATGCCATTGTTAGTGCTTTATTCCTTCATGTTGAACATCTCCTTTCCAGCAATGACCTTTACAATGAATACAACCATGAGATGAAGAGCAGGGACAGAACCAAGGAAGTGCATGGGCACCCAGAAGCTGAGGAGGACAGAGAGGGCTGGGAGAACAAGAGCAGCCTTTGCTGGCTCTGGGCTGCATCCTTAGGGAGCATTCTGGTGCTTATCTTCCAGCTACCTTCTCCAGGAAAGCAGAGGTGTGCCCATGCGATCTTTTCCCTCTTAATAGTCAGTATGCCAGGCAGATTATTTGGTGTCTCTGCTCTTGGTTTCCTCATCTGTAAAAAGGAGTTAAAAATACTTATAGCACCGGGTGTCTGTGAGAATTAACTAAGATGACGTCTGTATCGCAACAGACCCGGCTACACTCATTCACACTGGGGAGTCCTTGACGGAGAACAGCCTCCCCATCAAACCAACTAATGCTCACCCTCCCTGATATCTCTGCGAGTCTCAAGTTCACAAGACTTTTTTTCTCCTCAGAGTTCACATTCTTCAAAACACCATTTCCTGTTAGTTCTGACCAGAAAGAAGTGGGTTGAGGAGTTTTCCAGTTTCAGATGCTATGTCACAGTCTCATCTAGTCTGTTTCATAAGGAAACTGGGCAGCAGGCAGTGCCCCTCCCCTCCCGGCTGTGGCACTGCAGGTGGGCAGCATCCCAGGTGGTGAGCGTGAGGGAGGCAGGCAGGCAGGAAGGCTCTTTTGTGGTTGGTTTTCAGTTTTCCTGAGTGAGCCTGGTGCCTTGGAGCTGGGTTGATTCTGCTATCCTGTTATGAAGTGGCTATTCTGGGAAGGAAACCCAGAGCAGAGGGAATCCAGTGTGAGGCGGGGAGGCCAGACCGGCATGTGCTATTCTGGGCCCTGGAGCACAGGAAGGATATGGGGGAAAGACTTTCAGAAAATAAGATGACGGCTCAGTGGGTCCAAGGGTTGGAGGGCTAACCATGTACTGCAAATCTAAAGAGTCTCGGAAAAGAGCGGACAGGAGGGAGGAACCAAGGGCAAAGATGCTCTATAAATACTTTCAAAGAAACAATGTGAGGTGTTGGCAGATTCATCGTCATAGATGCTACAGAAAGAGGGAACAATGGGCTGAAGTATAAGAAGGGCCTGGAGATGCCATCATAGGGCACATGTGAGGCTTGTCTTCCTGGACATGTGAGGGCAGTGTCTGGTGATGTTGGAATCATTTTTACATATACATAGAGTAAGCAGTGGAACATTTAGTGACTAGATAGAGACCCCTTCCTTACACCTAGAAACATCTCAACTTCCCTGTTATGTTACTTGAAATTCTACTCTTAGACATTAATTTCTTTGGGTTAATCATTGTTTCCTTCCACCACCACCCCCGTTCCTCCACCGACAGAGAGCCCCAAAAGGAGTAATACATTAATCCTGGGATACCTCTCTGATTGAATTTGGACTTGTAGAACGTTTCTCTTCATTTCACAGATGATGAGAAGTGAGGCACAGAAAAGTTAAGGTTACTCAAAGTTACACATTTAGCACATGGTGAATCTGCTCCTGGAATTCAAGTCTTTTTAAATCTTGGTCCATGGGAAAGACAGATATGAGAGGGCAGGAGCATTCTGCAAACCTGGTCAGGTGAAGATGTTGACAAGGGCTGGATATTGGGGGAACAGGCTAAGCCCTCTGAGCACGTCTGCCTGCGTGTGTGCTGGCATAAACCCCCTATGTGCCAGACAGAGTGGAGGAGATAGGACCAGAGTGGCCACAGCAAGACATCATACATCCCGCTCAGGAGCTGTTGCAAGTTGTGGACACAAACTGCCTGCCCTCTGGCTGGGCTTGGCCCCAGACCAACCAGAGCGCTCAGTACATCAGCTCTGGTCCTCTCTGTCCCAAGGAAAGAAATGACGGTAAAGCATAAAAAGTGTCTCCATTTGGCCATCTGGTCCTGGCGTCCTTGAAGGAGCAGTTATAAAACACACATCGCTGGGGGAGGAGGAGATAGATGGCTTTTCAATGTCCCCTTTCTCTCCCCTCTATTCCAGGCTCCTGCCACATATGCTTTAAACCAATTGTTGAAATCGTTTTCAGGAATTGTATGGGAGACAGGATCTTTTTCTTTTTAAATCGTATTTTGCTTTTTCAAAATATGCAGTGCGATGAAAAGGAGTGCAGGATTTGGGGGCAGACAGACCTCCACTGGAAGCTCGGTTTGGCTGCCTTCTTTCTCTGTAACCTTGTGAAAATCTCTTTACTGTCTTTGAGCTTTACTTTCTCATGTGCACAAAGGGGATAATAGTACTTACCTTGCTGTTTGAGGATTGAGATAATGGCTATAAAAGCCCGTATCCTCTTGCTTGCCACATGTTAGGCTCTCAATAAGTTATAGCTTAGAAATAAAAGTTATGAACAAGTAAATTGGTTTATAAGTATAGCCTTCTGGAGAAATGATGTAAAAGAAAACCCAATGTAAACGCTTACTATCCTCTTACCCACCTTTTAGCAGTTTCTATCAAAATCCAGAGTTGCCAAGCTTTTCCAAGTCAAAACAAACCATAGGTTCATTCTTGAAGCATTTCTAACAAAGGTGAGCGAGCACCCATATTGGCTCGCTTTGTAATAGGAAATAGCTGGTTGCATACCTCAGAGTTCAAAAGGCTAAAAAAGACCAGGTTTTGCTTTAGAAAAGTTTCTTCTTTACTTAGTAACACGTTTCCCTTTGATTTTCACAGTAGGCTGTTCTGTGTGGGAATGTTGGAGAGGAAACCTCAACGCTGAGAAATTCAGGCTGGGAGTCTGGGCCACCGATTGAGATTCGTATCACAGGAAGTGAACTGAAACAATAGCTTTATGATATTAGCTTCCACGCTGGGCCGAGAACAGAACACACTCTGACGGGAACGTCAGTGGAAATACCACTTGATTGTCTTAAATCCTCTTTCAAGATGAGCCCCGCAAACCGTGACCAAATGGGGGTCGCTTCTGTATTCGGAGGGCCTTCAACAGCAGTAAATATGCAAAATTGGCTTTTCACCAGAAAATTGATTTTTGGCTTCCCCACACTAGTACGTGGTGAAATCAAATTCATTTTACACAAGAGCTGGAGGTCAAGGTGAAGCAAGGTTTCTAAAGAGAAATGTCAGGTTTATTATTGCTTCGTTGGCATTTGCTTAGTGAAGACAGCAGTCTTAATAAGAGAGTATGATTTCATGAGCTCTAGACTACTAAGGGAAGGACATTAAAATGTGGGACAAGTGATTTCAGAGTTTTACTATGACCTTTTCATGCAGGAAAAGTGGGACCAGAGGGAAAATTGTGGAGGCAGACGTGGTTTCTGGTGCCTTCTTATGCCCCACTTTCAGACTTCTCTTCCCAGGCTCTCACCCCTACTTTTTTACTGTCCCGCCCCTTGCCTCACCCACCCTCCAAAGGCTTTTTTCTGTCCTGTTTGGAGAGGTGCCAATAAGCTGATTCATGCTAGGATGTTAAGGGCTGAGAGCAGTCTCTTCTAGAGATACTGACATTGTTCACATCATTCCCTTAACTTAAACCAAAAAAGTCTGGTCAACCAGCCAGGTATTTGCTGACCCCAGCCCTCTGCTACATCTTTGAAAGGCACTACAGAGAGGTAAGAGAGGATAAAAGGTTATGTAAAGAACAAAGAAGTGAATCTCTAGTGGAGGACTTTCAAGGCCCTGTGGGGAGACCAGCAAGATCAGTGCCTTCTGCCAAAGATGTGAGGGTAGCCAAAGCCTGCTACCTGGTATAATGGTGGGGTTTAAAGGGATGGCTAATGATCCAGTAAGTGACCCAAAAATAATTTCCTCCTGGCTTGACTGGGCCTGCTCTTGCAGTCAGCACACCCAGGACGGGAGTTAGTGGTGGGTCTGTGGGCCTGGGATAGCTGGAGGGGAGGAATCGGTTTAAAAGGAAAGCCCGTGATGACAACTGACTGGTGACTGTCAACCACGCCCTTCTGTGCCAGGAAGATGGCATCAGAATGGCTTTAAGAACAGTCAAGCAGTCCTGGATCTTCTCAGGGTGGGAAACAAAGAGGGAAAATGACCCTGGTGAAATAAAAACACCTCCTGACCAGCAGCACTTGTGACAGTCTGGTCGCAGAGACCCAGTCAGGAGTGTCTGCTCTGCCACCCTGCCCGCTCAACACCGACGCCCAGGTCCTGCTGCCCATGGGGTCCCGCCCCACCTGGGTGGTGCTGCCTGAAGGAAATGAGCGGTGCTCCGGAAAAAGTGCTCCGAAACCTCAGCCCGCGCATATCCTGGCTGTGGGGAGTCATCAAAGCCTGTTTACTGGGGCTATTTTTAGCATTAAAGAATCTTGTTGTGCTCCCCAGGCTGAGCATGCTTCGTCTCAGCAGAGCGCCTCTGATTTCGATGACCTGCCCCTCTTCTTTGGGGTCAGACCCTGAAGGGTCCTGGGAAGCAAGTAACTGAGACCTAGAACTCGAGGCAGTTTAGAGACCCCGTTGGGGGCTTACTGAGCACCTACTGTGGGCTCCTCTTTATTCGGCACCAAGGGTTCCTTCTGGATTGTTGTGTAATCTCACAGCGGTTTATCTTTGTCTTCCCCACCAGTTTGTAGATTCCTTGAGGGAAAGGATTGCGCCTACACCTCTCGGTATCCCTGACTTTCCCTAGGACAGGACTGAGCACATAGTAAGTGACACTTGTTGACAGATGGCCTGACTGATTGCCTGCTTTGTGCCCAGCACAGGGCAGACACACAGTAGGAGTGTGATAACTACGTAGTGAATTACTTATGTGTCTAACACTGAGTCAGAGATTGATGCTACAGTGCAGAAGGCAGAGTGTCCACATGGCAGAGCAGTCTTCAGCAGGGGTGATGTGCATGAGCCCCTAGCCCCTCAGGCAAGGGTCTCCTCTGGCCTGCAGTTTACCCTCAGCTCCAAGCTGACAGTGAGCTGGCCAGGTGCCTTCAGAAACCCCCAGGAGGATAAGCAGGTGTCGCGGGAGCAAATAGTTCCTCAGAGGAAAGAGGCCCGGCTGTCCCAGGGTCCCTGGGGGCCAGTCTGCTGGCTTCCTGGTCCCCCAGCCATTGTGACTTCAGTTCTAAGACATTCTGTTTCCATTCGTGGCCCCTGAGTGCCCCTCTCCTCCCTCCCAGAGGCCGGCTGGCCGGCTGCTGTAGCCAATTTCGCCGCCTCCTGGAAGCAAGTATACTGGGCACGGATGGAAACCAGTTTGGCTGTGTTGGAACTGTTAAAAACAGGAAATTTTAAGCAGAACTGTTTCCTCTGGGCCTAGTTAACCCAAATAGGGTTGTCTTGGGATTACTCCAGATTTTGAAGTCAATGTTGCCACTGAGATCAAAGAAATGGAAGAGAAAAAATCTTCTCAAATTGCCAGCACTCACAGGGCTGACCTCTGCTGTCTGGAGAAGGTGGTCACCTATGTGTTGTGATTTAAATGGTGCTGAAAACCTCTCCTCACCCATCCCCAAAATAGGTCGCCACCTGCCAAAATAGGTCAGTTTTTGCAGCGTTAGGGTTACTCATAGGACCTTGAGTTAAGGCAGCGATTCTCAACCTGTGATCCTAGGGCCAGCAGCGTGCATGTCACCTGGGAACTTGCTAGAAAAGCAGATTCGTAGCCCCCAGCTGAGACCTCCTGAATCAGGAACTCTGAAGAGGGGCCCATCTAGGGCCGGCTTCACAAGCGTGTGACCTGCACGGTCCAGCAGAGCTCCACACTAAGAAGGGCTCTGGGCATAGTTTAATTTTTCAACAAGAGGTCCCATGTTTTTACTTTGCATTGGGCCCCACAAATTATGTAGTAGCCCTGGGCCCAGAAATCCTTGTTTTAGCAAGTCCTCCAGGTGCATGCTCAAATTTGAAAGCACTGATGTAAGTCATTATTTCTCCTAAAGCCCCTGTTTAAATATAGATGTTAACTGGGAGCACTAACATTGGCAGTGGCGTCACCCATACCTGAAACTTTGGTTCATTATCATCATTTCAGCTGACTAGTTGGTTGGCAGAGACCCTAAGCAGGGATCAAGTGTGAGTATATGTGTGGTACAAGGTCATTCCCAGATAGTCTGCCCTCCCATAGGCTAGCCGCCTGAACCAGGGTGTGAAGAGGAGAGAATTTCCATCATTTTGTTCCACACTTTAGCAAAACAGAGGCGAAGTCACCAGGATGCTACTCTGCACAGCCCAACTCTTGGCTGTAAAGGCTGGCCTGTTTCTGGACAGGCCTGCTCTGTTCCTCTGCAGAAATAGCAGCATCTGTGACTCTGGCACATTCACTGATCCTGTGTCCTGAAGGTGGCTGTTCCCCAGTGGTGCCATTGAAGCCCCTTGGTAGGAACATCTCCTAATTTGGATTTGTTCTTGTTGAAGAATAACACCCTATAGCCCAGAGCTTAAATTTAGGGGCTCAAGGGAAAAGAGAAAAGAGAACCAAATAAAGCCAGTGCCCTTGCAGAAAGGCCTTTGAACCTCATTTCACAGCATCCATGTGTCGCGTGCCAAGTGGCCCATAAATCTAATTGCATTTCACATTCCCTAGAACAGTCTTAACTTGAAAGACTTCTTTTAGTTAAGTGAATATTAACTTTTATAAGTAAAAAATTACTCTCTAATCCCCTTGTTCTATAAATTAAGTGAGGCATACTCAGCTTGATGTTTGTACTGGATGGATACAAATTTTTATGAGTAAATGTATGTTTGCAGTTAAATAATGAGGGAGAAGTGGGGCTGAAATAAAGTCTGGGTCTGAGGATAATAACCAAGGGCCTGGGGCCTGGGCCCTTATTTGTGTGGGACAAGAGCCGGGTCTCCATTTTGCACATAGCAGATGTCTACTTGATAGGCCAGGGCCACTCACAGTGGTTGGTTGGGGGTGGGTGCTTTCCAGTTGCCCCCAGCAAGCACCGCTGAAGCCCACCATTAATGCAGTTAGTTGCCTCATGCAGTTTTGCACCTCTGGTCTTCATTCTCTCCAAACTGTTCTGCATGCCATTGCCAGATGAATCTCCCCAAAGCCATGCTCTGAGATGCCACTCCTCCAGGACCCTGGACCCACCTCAACAGCCCAATTGCTGAGACTGGGAAATGGACCCTTCTCTTTAGCCTGATGGGCCTCTTCTCAGTCCCTGGGAGGGAGCTTGCTCCAGGCTCTACCACCTCCATGTTTTCCAGTGTCTGCCCAATCCACCGGGCCCAGAAAGCCCTTCTTTCGTTTTACTGAGTGAAATCCCTGTTTTTCATGAGTCTCCTCAAATCCTCTTCTTTGTAACAGTTGTCTCTGACCGCCCCCAAAGCAACCCCCTCTTCCTCTGACCCTTTGAGCACTTACTGTCTACACTCCTCTTTGGGCCCCCAGCTCTGTTGCCCTTGAGTTTTTACTTAGATTTGCATCTCTTTGTGCTACACATCCCCATCTAGGCTTTGAGCAATTTGAGGGCAGTGACAGTATCGTAGACAGAGCAGAGGGGGAAAGAATTCACAATGGTTGGTACCATTTTAGGCATTTTACATATTTATTTAATCCTTACAACTCAAAGAGATGGAAATTATTATCCTCGTTTAGCTAATGAAGAAACTGATGTGCAAAGAGGTGGTTACTTACCCAAAGTTGTAGCCTTATAGGAGGAATAGAATCTGTGTTTATTTGACTCCAAAGCCTATAAATGGTTAGGAGTGTAGTTCTGGACTCAGCTGCCTGAGTCCATTGGCTACAACCTTTATAACCTTGGGAAAATGATGTAATCTCCCTAAGCCTCATCTGTAAGATGAGAGTACCTGCCTCCTATGAGTTGTAAAGATTACATAGCATGCTCAGTGCAGTACCTGATATGCTGTCGTTGCTCAATATACATTAGCAGTAGAAATCATTGTTCCTACTACTACTGTGACTGCTCTTGCATCAATGACCACTACTGCCACCATTACCACTAGTACCACAGGTGTAACCACCACTACAACTGTACTGCCCGCAAAGCCCTGGTCAGGGTGTCCTCTGTGTAGTGGTGCTCATCAAATGCCCGCTGCTTGGGCATGTGGTAGACACTTAGAAGGTTGGCAATGTGCGTTTCCAGAAAAGTCCACTTAATGCCTTTGAGCCATCCTGGCAGACATCCATCCATGCCAGTCACATCTGTTTTAACACCACATTCATGCAAGCCATCCAACCCCTTCTCTTTCCAGTTTGCTCTGAAAATGAGTCTGAAGCTGAGGCTGACCAGCAGATGGACAACTTGTACCTGAAAGCCTTGGAGGGTTTCATTGCCGTGGTGACCCAAGATGGCGACATGATCTTTCTGTCAGAAAACATCAGCAAGTTCATGGGACTCACACAGGTGATACCCTCCTCTGGCTCTCTTTCAAAAGGGGGAAGAGGGGACCGGCCTGGTGGCGTAGCGGTTAAGTGCGCGCGCTCCACTGCTGGCAGCCTGGGTCCAGATCCCAGGCGCACACCGACGCACCGCTTGTCAAGCCATGCTGTGGCGGCATCCCATATAAAGTGGAGGAAGATGGGCACGGATGTTAGCCCAGGGCCAGTCTTCCTC